ATTTTGGTTAACTACTGAAGATGGCGGTTCCAGTCAAAAAAAGGGCAATCCCTTCTTCATCTCTTGTTCTTTCTGGGTTTCTGGGAATGCATATACATGTGTCTGACATACTGCTCAAGCCACCAGGTCTGGAACTCGAACTGCACAGTGGGCTGTGTGGGATCCATACCCTACCTACCAGGCCACAGAGTTGACCCTTTTTATTCACTCTTTAAAGAAAAATGCCTTTCTTTCTTTCTTCTATGAATAAGAGAAAGAGAGACAGAAATAGAAAGAGCACCAAAAACAGAGTTCTGACACCACAGTCCATCCCTGGCCTTCAGCCAGCCCCAGATGACGGACACATGTGTACTTGGTGTACTTGAACTGGAGACCTTTCCGTGGAGAACGGCCTCCCCCAGAGCACCGCATTTTACCTCTACACCACTGTCTGGTTCCCTTTCCTTTCTCCATTTAAAGAAAATTCATGGTGGTATGCTAAACACTGTTCTGTACTTTGATTTTTTTTGTTTTTAAAGATATATCTTGGGTATCTTTTCCATATTAGTACTGGGAGAGCTTCTGCATTCTATGTAAAATTAATTATATGGATATAGAATGATTTATTTAACCAGCCATTCAGTAATTGATAGATATCTAAGTTGATTTTAATTTTTTGCTATAAATAACAATTCCATGGTTAATTTGGTACTCTTGTCAATTTGTACATATACAAGAATATATAGAGGCTAAGTTTCATATATTATACATAACATACCTATAGGATAAATTCCAAAAGTAATGCTGGGCCAGGGCCAGGCAGGTAGCATGGTGGTTGAGGCAGCTGGATCCCACATGGCTGACTATGTGGTTGGAGTCCTGGACCTGGTGACTCAGAAGGCATGCCAGATGTATGTGCATGCTAAGATCCTGAGAGCAGAGGGCAGGGGAGGGAATGGTGGTGTGGCCACCCCCCACTTGAGGGATGCTTTCTCACTTTCCCTTTTTCTCTGGTGAGGGCATATACTCTATACAAATTAAAATAAATAAATAAAATATATAAATTATCTATCACCAGACCAATAAAATTATTTTTAAAATGCTGAGTCAAAGTAATTTTGATAGGAACTGTCAAACTGCCTTTCAGAGTTGATACTAATGCTCTATTAGGTTGTGTATGCACTCATTTTTCTACATTTCTAACTATAAACACGCCAACAAACTTGGGTTGCCAATCTGATAAATGAAAAATAGAATTTGAGTACAGTTTTGATTTCCATTTCCTTTACTATGAGTGAGGCTGAGTATCTTATATATTTAAGAGCCATCTGCATATATTTTTTTTTTTTGGAGAGGTTTTTGCTATAGGGAGCATGTGCTCAGCAGACAGACAGAGAGAGACAGAGAGACAGAAAGCGAGAAATCACCCCCCAGGGGGGATGGCCACGTCACAATCCCTTCTCCTCCATTCTCCACTCGGGATCTTGGGCATGCACGCACATGCACCTGATGTGAGTCTAAGCCACCGGGTCTGGTTACCCAAACCGTGGTCCAGCGACATAGCCATTATGCTAACTGCTGGTCTCTGCATTTTTTTTTTTTTTTGGAGAGGTTTTTGCTATGGGGCGCGTGCACTCACTAGAAAGACAGAGACACACAGAGAGACAGAAAGCGAGAAATCACCCCTCAGCGGGGATGGCCACACCACAAACCCTTCTCCTCCATTCTCCTCCCAGTGTCAACTTAAGCCACTGGGTCCAGGACTCAAACGTGCGGTCAACTGGGAGTCCAGTGACATAGTCATTACGCCATCTGCTAGCCCTGAGCCATCTGCATTTTAATGAGAAAGTTTAAATTCAAGTAATTTACCTGCTTGTACACCCTTGTTTAGCATGTGCACTTTGTGCTTGATGCAAAGAGTAGAGTTTGAGCTCAAGAAACTACTGGCAGAAGATGCAACTGAGTCAGAAGAATCCATATGGCTTGCCACCTGGAAAAACAAGAAACCTTGTTATTGTTAGCTATGATTAACTGCACAGTTACCCATAGGACAAGCAAGGACATATGTCCCCTGGGACCTCTAATCTATATACAATTCAAATTGTTGAGATACAGTTAGAAGTAGCTTGCAACAATGTGCACTTACTACCTCGTGTCTGTGATAAGGAGAACGCTGCTGTAGTTGGAGAGGGTGGATATTTCCCCAGGACTTGGAGAGACTCTGAACAGAGGATGCTAGCCAAACATTCGCCAGGTGCACCTTTAGAATGGAATTCTGAATTGACACCAGCATGTGGTTTGGGCGTCAGACAGTGAGGGCTGGGACAGCTAAGGAGTGATGAGCTGTCCACACTGCTCTCCAGGAAGAGCAGACTCAGACACTCACACAAGTCCTGAACGAGTGGAACACTGCCAAAGCCTTAAAGAGCCCAAAAGGTCTTTTTTAGTTATGCTCTGAGCAAAGAGAGCAATACAGGGCAAGTTCAGGGATTCGAACTCCTGGCAAAATGTGGTGAATGACATAGAGATTAAAACACAGTTAATAAGTGTAGCATAGTGCCAGCTAGTGGTGGTTGAGGTGATTGGATACCACACAGCAAAGCGCACAGTTTGAGTTCCAGACCTAGTGGCCTGAAATACAAGCCAGGCATGTGTGTGTGTGTGTGTGTGTGTGTCCATGCCCCAAATCACTAAATCAGGGAGAAATAGTGAAGGAATTGCAGCATGACCATCCCCCATGTAGAGTGATTCTCACATTCTCACTCAGGCAAGTGTACACACCCTCTGGTAAAAATTAAAATAAAAAAACAAAACAAAAACGCTATATATACATGTAATATACAATAGTATTTAACTTCCTCACCATAAAAATATCCTTGGAGGACTAACCCAGAACAACAACCAAAATCTGCAGTGAAGGACTCTGGGCATCTGTATTTTGGATGGATGCCAGGGGATTCTCTATTAAGGCAAGTTTGGTCAAGGTGAACTGAAGCACAAGTGAAGAGAAGAAACAGAATCTGGTCCCTTGAACTAGGAGAAATGTATCTGTGGGCCCTTAGGAAATACACAACAAAATTCTGGAGAGAAGAGGAACTATGTCAGAGGAAAGAGGAAATGTTTTGATTTTCAAAAAGGTAAGCACTGCAAACGGGTGGGTCTAACACTGATGACCTGTAAAACAGGATGGGTCACCTATCGGATAATTTATTAGCAACTGAAGGAATGGAAACAAAATGAGTAAATTTCAGCTAGGGCTCAGAGAGGCATGCAGAACAAACTCTGCCAGGCTAGCTTTTTTTCTCATAGGAGCAAATGCCACCTGACTGGCAGACCAAATGAACGTACACACCTAGATTTGAACAAAATGACAAAACATCTCAAGGCATCTTGGAGGAAAGACGGAGTTCTATTGACTGAATGATAATATATGTTAGTAGAAGCATAACCTGTATCAGTAACCCTTATCCAAATATTGTCAACAGAGGGAGTGGCCTTTACGGAGTAAAATATATCTTGCATTTAGACATCAGGCACTTGCTACGCACCTGTGTGCCAGTCACTGGGTTTGGCTTTGGTTATTCCTTATTTAAAATTTTTTTGTGTGTAAGATTTTAGCTATGGGGTGCATGCGCTTGCCGTAGAGACAGAAAGTAAGAAATCACTCCCCAGAGAGGATGGCTACGCTGGAATATCTTCTCCCCCACTCTTTTCTTGGAAATTTTTGGGCACACATGCACACACATCTAGCATGAGTTTCAAGCCACTGGGTCCAGGACTTGAACAGCAGTTGGCCATGTGGGAGTCTAGCACCTTAACCACTACATTATCTGCTGGTCCCTGGCTATCTACTCTTATTATTTTATATGTTTATGACTTGAAGAAGAATTTCCATGAAATACACATCTGGGAGTACCTGTCAGGATCCAAAAAAATAACAGAAATGATGGGATACAATCAATGGCAGGAAGGGTCACATCAAACGAAAGGGTGCTTAGTAGGGGTAACTGTAAACACCTGCATATTAGGCACATTCTACTGCAGAAGGAAAAACTCTGGGTCTGGAGTAGAAAACCCTGACAGTATCAGCTTTTCCCTCTACCAGCTGTCTCTACTTCGTGCCAGTGTTCCCATCTAGAAAAGGGAACAGAATCTGGATTATTGAAATTTCAAAACTATCTGAAAGGACAAATTATTTATATGGTAAATTAAGAAAAAGTAATATAAATTATGAGACTTAAAATTTTAAAGAAAAATCAAAGTATACAAATGTAGAAAGGAAGGATAGCCGGGAAGATGTGACTGATAGGCAATACACTACAACTTGCTTGCAGTTATTATAAAGTGAGGGAAGTGCAGTCAGCAGGTGGCGTCGTGGTTAAAGCATTGGATTCCCACAAGATCAACCATAGTTCAAGTCCTAGACCCTGGGACTTGAAAATCACAGGGTGTGTGTGTATGTGTGGGTGTGTGTGTCTGTGTGTCTGTCCCAAATCCTGACAGAATGGAGAAAAGAACAGTGTCACCAACCCTGCTGCGGGGTGATTTCTCATTCTCTCTCTCTGGCAAGCACAAGTGCCCTATGGCAAAAACCTAAATAAAAAGAGAGAGAGAGAGAGAGAGAGAGAATGAGCTGGTTGTCAGGGCATGCTGTTAAAACTCTGCTCCATAGGCTGAATCCCTTGGGAAGTCCAGTTCAATCTGAAGTGCCTGAGGAGGAGCAACATAAACACAAGACTAGTCTGGACAAAACAGCAAAACCTTACAAAAAACAAAAACAAAAACAAACAAACAAACAAAAAACCCCAACAATATAGAATCCAAGAGCTGGGTATAGTATAGTGCACCTGCAATCCTAGCGGGGAGGCTAAGGCCATGACATGGTAGGACCCTAGGGACTTAAATGGACTAAATTTCAGCACAGATATTAAGGGGCCAGCTGTGGTTGAGTGGTAATGTAACACTCTGTGATGCTGGAGTCACAGGAAAGGCGCTGTGTTCGCGTCCGGAGGACCTCTGTATCAACACACGCAGGGCATGCACCTGTGGTCCAGGCTGGCTGAGGCTGAGAGTCCATCACAGTATGAAGCCCCTGTTAGGGCTGTGTATCTCTCTCTAGCATCTTTCTCTGTCATGGAAGAAATACATTTATGCCATTTTGTAAAAAAGAGTGGAAAACATATGTATGAGTTTGCCTTTCTAGGTGTAAAATATCTCTAAAAAATTACAAACAATCTTGGGACTAGCAGATGGCATAATGGTTTATGTCTCTGGACTCTCACATAGCTGACCACGGTTCCAGTCCTGGACTCAGCAGCTTAAAACATGCCAGGCGCATGTGTATGTGTGCCCCAAATACCAGAGGAGACTGGAGGAGAAGGGATTGCAGCATGGTCATCCCTCTGGAGGGTGATTTCTCACTTTCGCTCTCTCTGTCTCTGTCTCTCCGGCAAGTGTACTTGCCCTATAGCAAAAATCTCTTAAAAAAAAAAAGGCATCTAAATTGAAAAGGAAGTTAAAAGGGTGAACCTGGAAGCCATTACACTAAGTGAAATAAGCCAGGTACAGACAGATAAAATACCACATGTTCTCCCTTCTATATGGAAATTGAAAAAGTGACCTCATACAAGTAGAGAGATACAGAGTAACTGTTGGATACTGAGAAGATGTTGAGAGGGTGGATAGAGGGAGCTGATTAATGGAAACAAAATTACAGATAGATAGAAGCAATGTCTAGTGTTACAAAATATAGTGGGGAGAATATGATTAATAAGAACTTAACTGTGTATATTACAAATGGTTGAGTGCTGGGGTCTAGCCTCGGCGGGGGTGGGTTGACTTGTTGGAGGCGGTGCAGGAAAGGAAGACTAAGGCCTCGGTGCCATTTTCATGCACATCCTCAGTCGGACACTCCCAAAGATTGTTCTCTGATGAGTGACTACTGTCAGGAATTATTGTGCCTTTTTATTGAAAATGTGATACATGCAAGTAAATGGGTGAGGGGCTATGTGTTTTAATTATCAGTTTAATAGGGATTACAGGTTTTATTTAGGGTTGGATTAAGGGTGGGTCTAT